GGGATTTGCGTGTACACATGATTCGGAAAACGCAATGATTTCATGGCTGATTCGCCTTATTTCGCGACGCACCAGGGTGATGTTGAGCGGGATTGTGTGTGATTGGGTTCGGAAAGAAATGATTTCGGACTGATTTTGCCTGGTTTCGTGTGATTCTGCCTGATTTCGGTCGAATTTAGTGATTTTGGTTGATTTCGGGTTGCTTGATTTCGCGTGATTCTCAATGATTCGCATGTGATTTCGGGGGCCGTGTACACATGATTGCGCGAGTTTTTGCCCCCTCGATTCTCGTGCTTGATGGTTGAGATCTTATCCAACAATGCTAGTCTGCGGTAGGGACCAGTATCTTCAAACACATTGCACAAGTTGGTCCATATGTCCTTGGAGTTTGTCGCAGTTTTTGCATGGATCAACAAACTGGGTTCCAGAGAGAAACTCAAAATTCTTCGCACCGTCTTGTCGTTGTCCTCTTCTTCAGCGAGCGGTGCATTCGTGAGATAGTGGTCCAGCGTCTTACCGTCTTGCTTTAAGCCGCCAAGATGCAACTCCATCAAGTACTTCCAATCAGACCAATTTTCTCTCCCCTTCAGCTTTGAAAAGGGTGGAGTATTGCTGGAAGTATGTTGCACTACTACAGTTGGTGCTTGAGGTTCTTCATCGTCGCCGGCCATCTTCTTGCTTCTTTATCTTGAAGCTTGAGGGTCTTGAAGCTGTGCTCTCCACGAGGTAGGATAACCTCACTTGAGTGGTACAAGTGATTTTGAGCGATAAAAGATATTTTAGTCACTCGATCACAAAAATACAATTTCCACACCACTACAGGGACACAGTTAAACGAGTCCTGGGCCCATAACCTGTTAGATTGTTCAGAATTTATGAGTAGTGGGTAGATACACTCGGGAGCTCTTCAATAACGATGTAAACGATGTAATGGTCAATACGGAAGTGAGTTTATTTCAGTGGTTTCCGGGATAGAGGATACAAGTATGAGAAATCTATTGCGTGATGAGAAATTGAGAAGACAGACTTACAGCTAACAGCTAACAACTAAGAACCTTACTCTACTACCTTACGGACTAAAGAATTGATAGGCTAAATCACAAATTTAACATTTGAGGTGCAAAAACTGTTCGTTAGTGTATAGAATGGTCCTTTCTGAGTTCAAAAACGTCGGTCCCATCCCTCTGAGACTACACTCTAAATGTCTTACGAAGAAATTTCCCATAATACGAAGGAAATGGCGCAAGCATAATACGAAGGTGGTTTTTCTTCGTATTACGAAAGTTTTTCTTTGTATCTTACAATGAAAAAGCTAAAAAGATTCGTATCACGAAGGAATATTGCTTTGTATTATGCTTGCGCCGAATTCACTGTAACATACGAATAACATAGGTCAAATTTCACTGTAAGACATTTAGAGTGTAAAACGGCGAAATCCGACTTACGTGCGACTTTTTCCAGTTTCGCCCCACTGTGCGGCTCCCCTCAATGCCCCCATTGCACTCGTGTAAATTAAGTTAGAATGTCAGAAACATGTCTGACATCCTGATCAAAATTCGCACACCTCTGAAAGCAGAAATTCTGAAAACTTACCCTAATTGATGGTTTGAGATGTACAGATCGTCAGCTTTCAGAGGTGCGCGAATTTTGATCAGGTTTTCAGACAGGTTTCTGACAAGAGTGTAGCGTTTGGAATCTGCACTCTAAAAAGCCTACGAAGCAATTGCTCCGTAACTACAAAGAAAATGAAGGCATTGTAGAGTTGCTTTAAAGTATGAAGAAATGCTTCGTATTACGAAGAATACGAAGCAATTTTTCGTAGGTTTTTCAATGCCTTCATTTTCTTCGTATTGCGAGGCGATTCTTCGTAGAGTTTTGACTCTGTGCACAGTAAACTTCTTACGGATACATCCTATCTGTATTACGGACATTTTTGTGCAATTGCAATTACGGATAGATTTTGCTTGTAATACGGATGAAATCATCCGTATTACAAAGAGTTTTTCGTCCGTAACATACAGACGAAAAATACCGTATGGTACGGACTTAAAACTCTTTGTAATACGGATGATTTCATCCGTATTACAAGCAAAATCTATCCGTAATTGCAATTGCACAAAAATGTCCGTAATACAGATAGGACGTATCCGTAAGAAGTTTAGTGTGTGTGTTCCTTTGCAAATTTATTGGACGAGCCATAAGGCCAGAACAGAACACAAACATATCGTGGCATCATTGCGTCTACCAAAAAAGCGTCTACCAATAAAATAATAATGTTTTTATGGAAGAGCTGTTTTGAAAAATGTGTCTACCGCTAATCACAAAAAAATTAAATAAAAATATTAAAGAGAAGAATTGAATTAAAAATTGAATTAAAAAAGTACGGTGAAGTCTGGAGTAATCAGTACAGGAATTACCGTGATCTTTTCTCGCAGTGCCCTGGGCTGCAGGCCAGCCCTTCGATGCACCGGAGGGCTGCTTGTGCTTTCAGTGGCTCGCGGTGCGTTGATGAGACCAGGAGTCCAGGTGAGTTCCACACCGATATGACATGACGTGCATTTGAATTCGCGCGCCACGCGGCATACCACTTCCGCCACACAGTAAAAACTCTACGAAGAATCGCTTCGTAATACGAAGAAAATGAAGGCTTCGTAAAATCTACGAAGAAATGCTTCGTATTATGAAGCAACATCCTTCGCAATACGAAGCACTTCTTCATAATACGAAGCAATTCTACAATGCCTTCAGTTTCTTTGTAGTTATGAAGCAAATGCTTCGTAGGCTTTTAAGAGTGCACACTCGTTCTACACACTAAACTTCTTACGGATACATCCTATCTGTATTACGGACATTTTTGTGCAATCGCAATTACGGATAGATTTTGCTTGTAATACGGATGATTTTATCCGTAATACAAAGGTTTTCGTGTCCATAACATACAGACGAAAATATCCGTATGGTACGGACGTAAAACTCGTTGTAATACGGATGATTTCATGATTTCATCCGTATTACAAGCAAAATCTATCCGTAATTGCAATTGCACAAAAATGTCCGTAATACAGATAGGATGTATCCGTAAGAAGTTTAGTGTGTACCCCTGCGTGGCAGCCAAGGTAAACCGCATTATCCGATGTGCTAACTGCTTTTAGCGATCTGTACTATGTACCTCACGTGGTGCTGAACATAAGGCGTTTAATCCTCGTCGGGTCTGCATGCGGCATGCACCTTCGATGCACCCGCAGCGCTGGTGCATCCATGGCCATTGCTGCTGCAGCGGGCCCGAGAGGGAAGCCTGGGGAAGGTTTTACCGCTACTCCTTAGGGACGGTCTGTAAACCGCGGACTGTGAAATGCCACCGCTCTGCAGTCCGGGGTTCGAATCCCCTCTAAAGAGAAACCAGTATCTTACCTTTCCCGCTTGCAATCCCGCTGAGGTTTTGCACCGTTGCGTCTTTCCCTTCGCACTGCTCGGACACACTCGAGGCTCTACCGCGATGCTTTCAGAACCCTTCACTGTTTCAGGGGACGGCGCACACATACTGCCAGCTAGCTGCCATCAGTTCGCAGGCGAGGGGTGGCCGGTTGCCGGAAGGGAGCCCCGGCCCAGAAAGCGGGCCTCGGAATTCGTACCAGACACAGTCTTGGTCTTCCCCGGACAGCCGAGAATGCCCTTCTTTTACTACGTTTACACGGGGGAGCTAGCCTCGGTCAACTCGAGGGGTGGGGGAGTGGAGGGGAGACACCACTCAGACAGGGCTAGCAGACGTCGTGTTCACGCGGTGCCGGTGGAGCGTTGTTGGGGTGACTTTCTAACCTCAAGATAGCCTAAACAATTTCGAATTTAAGTCGAAATCAGGTCGAAATTTGCTTTACGCAATAGACAATGGATATTTTTATTCAGAAACAATCAGTTACAAGTGGTAAAAATCAAATCAATAAAAATTACATAAAATAGAATAAGTAAATTAATGATTTCATACAACAGAAAACTGCTTCCCAAGTTTTTTCCAACGATTTCACAGGTGTATTCATAATAATAGAAAATAGATGGGCTTACAACACCTCAAAAACACTGCGCACACCTAACCTCACTTGACCGTGTGGTGTTTACACGTTGGAGTTAGCCTCGGTCAACGAATTAGCCAGGGTAGCTCGAGGGGTCTAACTCGTTGACCCACCTACGTGTTCATGCGCGTGAGTTGACCCCGGCTAGCTCGAGACCTACCCCCTCCACTCCCCCACCCCTCGAGTTGACCGAGGCTAGCTCTCCCGTGTAAACGTAGTATTTCCGCAACGCCATCCCGAGACAAGAGGCTAGTTCCACAACTGCGAGGTAGGTGTTCTAATTCGCTAAGAAACCTCTTCCCCACGCCCCTCGCCTTCTATCGCGCGCGGAAGCGCCCGAGAGGTAGGCAACCATTCCGACTCGGCACCTCCCCTCATCCCCTCCCCTGCCTTGCCCCAATAGAGCATGGGCAGTGGGCTTTTTGGAAGTCACTAGCGGTGATGGGACCCAGAACGTTCTCTACTCACTGGGGATCAATCTCGCGGGAAGCTTGAATTTCGACGTCTTTCCTACGATATATCTACGATTTAAGCGGAGGTTATCACTCGCCCACGAATTTATTGGCATTCGTGCCTTACAGGAACATGGATTCATTGAAAATTTTAGGACTTCATCACGTGAAACAAATAAAAGCTATGCAGTTGGAGGTTATGGACGGTTGTGTACTGCTTGTTGCCTACCCAGCAGGCGCTATCGCTGGGGGTCCTACTTTCATTAAGGCCAAAGTTTGATGAAGCAATCTTAACACTCTCCAGCAACTTCTATGCGTGCTTCGATGCCTACCAATGCCCTCTAGGCATCTTTGCAACATTTATCTTCTTTCAGCAGTAAACACCATGCCTTACAAAAAGGGGAGCATTTGAATGTTCCCGCTCAATGATCCCCAGTGAAACCTTCACTTGTCTCGATGTGCCCATGCCCTATCCCCACTCCTATCCCTTGACCATTCGTCCTTCTGCTTTCTTTCTGCTGGACCAAAACACCGCACCACCTTTTAATTTGTGGTTTCGTCCAAGTTGATGTTGCACACGAGTCCACATAGTCCACCTTCCAAGCGTCGTTCCCTTCAAGTAGTGCGTTTCGGTTTGTCACGAAAATCGCCCTTTGCCGTGATGCGCGTGTCCTTGAAGCCCGGTGCTGAAGGCGCACCTAACCTAATCTTCTCGCTGCCTTTTTCAGATTGCCAATTGCTCCAGCTTTAACCGCTTTTCTCGTTGCAGGGCCATGAATTCGGTCTCGATGGTCTGCAGCAAGAAGCCTGTCGATCTGTTGCTGCCCCAGCGTCCCGCCCCCAGCGGATCCTGACCTCACAGTCACTGAAGGAGTTTTCAACGTAGAATCCTAAGCACTGGCCTGGACTGCAGTTTGGTTGATACTTCAAGGTATAGTGTAGCTAATTCTTCGCCATGTTGGGTAGATTTGTGTTCTGCTAGTTCATTGGCACCATCATCACTCTATCATTGTCGAATTGTTGCGGCCAATGAACGGAATTGGCTGTGCACCAGTGGCTTGCCAATCATGAATGAAATCAGAGTATTGTCTGTCTTTTTATGTTAGATTCATTGCCCCGAAGTTAGGTGGGAGTGGTCTCAGTATATCTGAATCCCTTTCTTACAGACACTGCAGAGTCCTATGAACATCCAATTATTGTGTCTGTTTCACCTTCTGTTGGGTCAAGGACATTTATTGTTGTCTTTGTGCCCTGAGCTTAAATTTGTAAACTAACGGATCTGGCCTTTGTTTCTCTTCAGGTTTTTCCGAGGTGCAAATAACAACCAAGAAGGATTTTATTTCACTCCCCACAGCAACGAATCTTTTTAGCAGTATGTCACCAGAAGGTTTGTATCGTCCTCTTCATCATTAAGGGGAGGTTCTGGTGAAAATCTTGCTATTTTCCAAATTGATCCCACTGTCACAATTTGTTCGGAATATAAAATCTTTCTTCGAGGACACTAAAATTCGACTTTTGAAGGTACAGGCCAGGCTCTGAACCAAGTCGAAGAGTCTTTTTGAGCCTGTTTTGGCTGTATCTTAAAAAATCTTCTTGCGCATACTATTTTGTCGTAAAAGCTTGACCTTGACATTTTTCACTTCTTTGATTCATTTTCAAAAGATTCGGGCATGCATAGCTAAAAAGTTCCATTATGTTATTAATTGTAAGCTTTTTAAGCTGAAAAGTCCCTAAAATTTGTCTATTTTGTACATTTTTGGTCAATTATAGTGAAATGCTTGGTTTGAAAGCTTGTGAATAAAACTGTAATTAACATTTTGAGTTGAGCATGCCGGCATCTTTTAAAAATGAATCGAAGAAGTGAAAAATGTCAAGGCCAACCTTTTACAACAACATAGTATGTGCAAGAAGATTTTTAAAGTTATAGCCTAAATAAGAGAAAAAGGCTCTGCGACTGGGTTCAAAGCATAAATGTGCCTCCCCAATGAAAACTTTTAATAATTACTAGGTAAGACATAAAATTTTTAACAAATTTTCACAGTGGGACCTATTTAGGAGAAAATAGCATTTTCATCAGAACCTCCCCTTAAATATTATGAATGGATTTAGATTTTGCGAGGAATATAAACATACTCTCATTTGTTGCTTCAGGTTGCCTTTCAAGACCGTGGAACTCCACTCCTTGATGGAAAGATCAAGACTGTTTCATCTGTAAGTTCCAAAAAATATTCTATTCAGTAAACATTGTATAAGAGTGTTATTTATTAGTGTAGACGATATTTCACTAAGTCATGATTCATCTTTTGCAGTCTTGTGGAGATCTGCTTCTCCAGACTGACTGATTTTCTCATTATGAGCCTGCTTTACCTGTGCTTTTCTGTAGCACATGATGTTCATATTTGCTGTCACCGTTGAGAAAGATTCCGTTTCTTTTGAATGGAGAGAGAAGGGAGGAGGGAGGGTGCTTCTCAAAGAAAACAAACATTTTGGTAAGTAAATCAACTCAATTTTCCCTGTGCAGTTTGTGTCTTACATATTCTTATATTTAATTTTATCCCTTTTTGCAGTTGGGGTTTCAACTTGTTTCAAACCATCAAGCTGCTCTACTCCTGTGGGTGGCGCATCTAGGCCTGGGCGATTATTGGTTGTAATCGTAATCGGCCGATGAATAAAATAATCGCGATTGGTGTCGATTAGCAGTTCGGTAATCGGTAATCGAAAACGTACACGATTAATCGAAAATCAACGATTAATCGGGGGAAACCGATTATTTGGAAATTGACAAACAAAGGTTAATACTCGTACTATTTTGAAAATAGCATGTAATAAGAGGATAGGAAAACCATTGGCGCAACCTCGAGTGTCTGAGACAGCTTTTTCGTGCGTTAACTGAAAACTTTGCAAGACTTTTCCGCTCAGAATTTGAACAGGTGATGCATAGAATATCCGATAAGGGAAGTTGCCAAAATTGTGGGTCCTTTTGGCTCCTAAAAAAGTAAAAAAAATATCTCGTTCTAAATTTTTTTTTAGCATTTTTCCTGTATTCTAGGGGTCATTCTAAACGCATTTCCGAAGGAGGCCAGTATTTTCTCGCACTTTGATTTTTCCCCTATACTTTACATGGGGGAATGGCACGGAAGTTACCGAAAATGTGCATGGCACGGAAGTTACATCATCAAACAAACCGTGAAAACGGACCAACCGGTTCACCAAATCGAACAGGTGTCTCGCCTAAAGTTTAAAAGACGTAAAAGCGCAAAATGGCCAGGTGGACCGAAATCGATAGGCCGAGTAGCAAGCTCGCAATTGATGACACGGAAGGTTACACATAAACCTGACACATGCCGGATTTTTACCTTTGGTGGTCAAGCTAGCCGGAATGGAGCCCTCCAGCGAAAATCCGCCTACCGCGCTGGAAAGAGGAAACCGTGCTGCTGATTCTGGACGTTGAGCCGAACTTTTCCCGCTACAGGTTCGGCGCTGAGGCGCGAAACTAAAGTTGACGATGTTGGAAAACCAGTACACGGTGGACATTTTTTCATCCAATAAAGCAGGAGGTGAGAGTCACTGGAATAAATTGCTATCCCAGAATGTCATAAAGGGTTGCCAACAGAACAAAAGGCTGTTCGCGGATTTGCTCTCCGACAAATAGTTCAGGAGATTTTCGCCTTGAAACACGGACTTTTTGGACAATGGACAGCACGGAAGTTACATTTTGCCCAGTTTTAGCCTGTTTTGACAGGGAAATGCTTGAACTGCATGCTCGGTTAGTGTGTGGGATAGTAGGGGAGATGAAGTTGAGTCATAGGAATCAAACCGCAGGTCGATACGTCGAAAAATAAGGAAACTGTGGCCCAAAGACACAAAAGGACCCACAATTTTGGCAACCTCCCATAATGAGACGATTAATCGATAATCGATCATCGTTAAATAATCGGTCAATCCTTCGATTACCGAACCACTAATCGGGGGTTTGAAATAATCGGACGATTAACAAAATAATCGCGATTATTTTCGATTATTCGATTAATCGCCCAGGCCTAGGCGCATCTCTTGTGTTGCAATGCTGAAAATGAATCACTGTGTTAAGAAGACAGACAACTAAGTCACGTCTTATCAAGAAAAACAACAGTCTTTCTGCTCTTTTGTCTCTTCTTTCTTTGGGGTTTGTTTGAATATTAATCTATTTAGATTGATAGTCCATACCTTAAATTTTAAATTACACGTACTGTGCTGATTACAAGGTCAATGGCAGATACTTGCTGGAGGGTTGCTTTGTGTATTTTTCATCATACAAAATCTTACATTTTAAAATGCCTGGGGAGTAGCACTATATTTTACGTGCTCTTTGAAAATCTCCATCAAATCTTAATGCCTTTCTAGTGAGTCTTTGTTTAATAAAGTCTCTGAGGAGTGACAGGAGATTAAATGTGTCCACTCCCTTTTGAAGCAAGCTAAGAATGTTCATTTCAGTTTGTTTTTACTATTTACATATTTATCCAAATCTAGATTTTGTATTCGATATGATTGTTAAATCTTGCCTTTTTTCATTTGTCAGTTAAATGCTAGAGAAACCTTCATTATATTTTATGCATATTTATTTGTTGTTGGTATTTGTTGCTTTTGTATGAACCACATTCCTCATTTGTGGTCTGTACTGGTGTGAACTTAACTGTTTAGTGCTAATAATGACAATGAAATTGACTGTGTACATTTTAACTTATTTTGTTGCTCTTGGGAGTGTGTGGTCTTTATGCACGAGTAGTGAAGAAATTAAAATGTTAAGCAACTAGTAGGGTGGAATGAGAGCAATTTCTTCAACCGTAGTGACTCATTTTCTACTTTCTCGTTGCCTGAGTACTGTGGCATTGTATGTATTGCATTGCTCCCAGTCTCATGAAAGCTTATCTTTGTTTTTATTATTCCCTTTCACATTGTATCTCCTTGTTGTGGTTTTGGTTGTTGTGTTGATAGAGTACTTACAGTCTCGGCATAAATAATCTAATTTCTGATTTTCACTTCTGTTGTTGGGAGCATTTATTCCCTAGTTCACATTTGTTTATCCTGCCCATATTGAAAGCATCTAAGTTTCATAATTTGCTTGAGCTTATTAGAGGAGGCAACGGATAAGTGCTCTATTATTAAATTGAGATTTACATAGTGTGGGAACTAGGATTTAGAGGACGTCATATACCAAGATGTTCAATAAAAAAAATCTCAATAACAATTACCAATATGTGAATGGTTCTCTTTATTAAGGGTTCAAAAACCAGGTAAAAAACTCAAGCGCATTTGAATGAACAAAGGTATTGGCTAACTTGCGCAAATACGATAAAATAAGACAGAGTTATGTAATTTCTTGGCATTGGTATTTTGTGCCAACATTAGCTTCTTATGTTTTCCCCATGTGAATTTGCCCTCTTGGGTCTCACAACTAATTGAAGAAATAACAATCTACATTACTCATCTCATAATATGAAATGAGTTTGTTAAATGATCATATATTTATATAATGAGAGGAAACAAAGAGTAGTATCAATATACAGATTTAAATAGACACTTTCCTGTATATAACAAACACTGCATGTTGTATTGTTTCTCAAGAAACCCCCCTTCGTGCTATGTAGAACTTGTGGTGATTCAAATTTATCCTGAAGGCCCAGTCCTGGTGTTTGAATGTGGAAATGTTTATTTAAAGTCCAACCTCAAACTTCAAAGGTTTGACTGCGCTCAAAGGTCCACTTAGAAGAGATGAAGGATGCAAATATAAGGAAATAAACTAAGTACTGATTGCTTTTAAGTGCAGTTTCAAGTTTCGTAGTTATGCGGCTAATATGCAATTACTTTTAAAGGTACTTTAAGAAACTTCGATCTTTACCAGCAATGACATAAGGGCTTAAAAAACGGCTAAATTAATTTTCATTTTGCTAAGTTCGTAGAGTTGTGAGTAGGGAAGGCAGGGAGTAAATCACGACACCACAGCTCGATGCAGAATGATCCCAGAGCTGCTTGGAGGGGAAGTTGAGAGGAGGGGGGAGAGAGAGCCGAGCCTTATGAGAATTTTAAGGTGAAGCGGAAAAGAAGCATAGAAGAGAAGGCTATGAAACGGTTCTCACACCCCTTCCCCCAAA